CCATGAATACAAATATACACATGTTTGTACACAGGAGCAAGCACAAGACATGCAAAAACATGAATATATACCTTCTTGAAACTTTTGATTAATCTGAGATGGGGTACTGTGATTTTTTGTGATAATTTGAGACCAATGAATTGCTGTAAATAGCAGTATTGGGGCCAAAATCTCATCATTGATTTTTTTGAGCTCCTTAGATCTTTCTATCTTGGCCAGGCCGGAGCAGATGTAAGCTCCATTGTTGTGAAGCTTGTGTTCACAGAGTGACTTGCTAGTGTTCAGTATCCTCATTTTCGTTACAATATAAAATACATGAAAAAATTGAAACCCAATTCTTTGTTTCTTTGCCTGGAAACTTTTACCATTGAAAGCAGGAAAGTTAAAAAACCTGCATTGAAGATGCGATATATGCATATCTGAGTTGTTTAAAATCTCGTCGTTGGCAATGGTGGACGATTTAAGGAGGTTCCCATGTACTTGTTGGTTATTGGTAAACCATCTATGAAAAGTTGTAGAGCAATAATTGAGAAGTTGAGTAGAGCTGGGGCCGATCTCTTCTCCCTTCTTTGTGTTACTTCGGATTTATTTTAGTTGGTCAACATTTTTAAGTCATGATTCTTATTTCATTTTAACTTTACTGTTCAAATTTTGAACTATCCAACCTCTTCTCCCTTTCTCTTCATTACTTCACTATTCTTACCAAAAACCATCAGACTTCTGATTTGGTTCTATTTTTGTTACATCCATTTTTATTAAATGGCATTATGTACTACCAAAAACCATAAAAAAAAATTAACTATATATTAGTAAGGAGTTTATCTTTTAGAAAAAAAAAAAGAAAGAGAGAACAAACTTTGTATACATTATACGTTTATATACTAAAATTACAAATATATCATCCAAAAAAGAAAATAATATATGAATTTTAGAGGAACAAAATAAAGATTTCTAATGGGTTCACAAATTCCAACCACATGTAACATAAACTACAAGACAATCCTGATGAGATAAAGCTAATAGGACAGCCATTACTTGCTAATGCACCAACATAACTATTTACATAAAATTATAAAATCATTCCAAGTAGATGAGGAAATCTTTCCATAACATTTAGTTTCCATAACTATCACTTCAATTTGTTCTAGATCTCTTCAAAAAATTTACGAGCGTCTTCCAGGCTCGCACACTTTTATATAAAAGCCGGTATATACCTACAAAACCAAATAAGTAGATAAGATAAATGATAAACGTACATACAATCATTTGACAAGCATACTAGCAGACCGATAAGCACATGATACTTTGCTTCAAAGGTATGCAATTGAAAAACAGTACTAGTACCAAATAGAATGCAAGACAATGTAACTCAATGAAGCAATCCACAAGTGTTGAGTAGCAAAAATTGACTAAAAGAAACTACAGCTAATTATGAATCCAAAGAAAGTAAGAGGATAATAGGTTGCAGGAGAGACATTGGATGAAAACGCAAAATTCAAATGGAAGCACCAATAAAACTTTCATAGAATCAGTACATCAAACAGTATTCGTTCTTGAAACTAACATATTATTTACATTTACTTGAACCTTTTGCTGAAAATACAATATAATACACAGAACACAAATCAGAATACTAAAAAATTCAGTAGATAAATCACGTGCAAAATCAATAATCAGGAAAACAAGAGACGAAAAAAATACCTGAAGCAAACGCGAGCAACTGGGAGATTCATGCAAGGATGATGATGACGGCAATCATGATAGCAACGGCAACGGACTGTGATGGCTACGTTGATGGATTTGCATTGTCAGAGCATCTTGTCATAGATGATGAAGGGTTTCCTTCCAACAGAACTGTATCACGGGTATAAAAATCATTCTAACTCATCTATGTTTAAATATTATAGTTCATTTCCAAATTCTATCAATTTAAAAAAATAGATTTATTAATCCAATTTCACATGAAATTCATTTTAAAAGTGAAATTCCAAGGTTTGGAACATTTTCAGATATGAAAATCCAGATTCCACAAAAGATTTTGGAATTTATTATTTCCAATCACATTATTTAAGTCTTAAGTTAAGTATGTTACTTCCGTTTTTACAAGAAATATATAGCGGAAGTAAGAGCAAGGAAAACTTTCAACTAGCAAGTTGATGTTGTGATTGGTATCAAGGAACTTGCTTGCAGGGAGACCAACAAAAATACACGTGGTGACTAAGCTGCAACTTCCCTAACTCTTCCAACCCATTGCCTGGAGGTTGCTTTGCTTTAGTTCCATGTGCATCCCTATCCTGGAAAGGAAGAAAGGAGAGAGCTAAATTGACGCATATAACTAAATAAGTAATAAAAAGTTGAAGTTTGATTTCAGAAAATAGATCTGTATAACAACCTTCATTTCTTTTATGGTTTGTTTTGTATCAAA